ATAGCATCTTTACTTACTGTAATAGCACCCTTACTGGTCCGCGATTGTTCATTGCGCAATGAAGAGCGTCTGTTGACATTATGTTCATTCTTGTATCATTATCCTCTGAAAAAATAGTATATCAACTGAGATGTAAGTTATATACATACAAGTTAAAAAGAAGAAGAAGAGGGTTTTATATATTTAAGTAAAGGAAGCATTCACCTTCGTGTGTTTCACGTATTCGCAATCTCGATATTCATGAACACGATCCACCGGTAACATATTCTCCTTAACGAAAACGTGGACCGAGACCGACTGACCATGACCTTCAGCCCTAATAACGTCTTCGATTGTCCCTATAATCAAACCAGGATGGACATGTTTATAATTTGAGAGATCCTCCACATGTACGGGATCGTCGTACCCTGTGAGAAGTGAACGAACGAAACGTTAGATCCTCAAATACAATATTCAATTACTTTCGATCACATGAAATCAAATCTTACAGCGGTCGTGGTTGGAGTCCACGGAGAAAAGTCTGGGCTTGGCTACGGATGAAAGAGAGAGAGTTTGTGAGTTAGGATTAGATAACTCATCTGCGTCTTATCTATTATAAAGGGCCCAATAGGGTCAATAATTCGACCCGGATAATTGTTGATTTCTCGACTGTTTTTCAAACCGGAAATTATAAATTAGACTCACGAAAGTATATGAAGATTAAAAAACCAGTATACGTTTAGTCGAAAAATCACATATCTAATATAGTTTTTTTTTTTGATAACGTAAATCCTATGCCTATGGAGGGTCCATACTAATCGTTGGGAGAGGTGCCACCCATGGATAGACCCTCTCTCCGGATATGCAAATAGGCCGAAAGCAAAGGCCCATATCCATATGGGTATCCAAGGCAATGTGTTTTAGTGTCGCGTAGCAGGTAGATCAAACTTGAAGCGTGTTGACACCACAAGCCCGTCTCCTTACCACTTGACCACAAGGCTCCGAACCATATCTAATATAGTTACATAGGTATATAATCAATACATTCAAAAACATAGAACAGAAATAAATTAAATGTATACGAAGAAGCAAAATAACACACTAATATAAATAGCATTTTGTTCCCATATATCTTAAGAAGCCAAACAAGCTTCCCAAAACATTCTATTTTTTTCATTCTCCCTCATTAACTTCTCATCATTATTTCCCGTTGAAGACGAATCCACGGTTAGATTTTCACGTTCTCTTCTCTCCGGCCACGTCTGGTAACTATTCACCACTTCATCCCCGTCATCGTGATCCTCTTTCTCTCCGGCGACTTTCTCTTCTTCTTCATCAATCATGACCGAATCAAAACTCGTTGACCTACTTGTACTCTGACTCCTACTTGACTCGA